CCCTTTTTTCTCTCTCTGTCCCCCCCCCAGTTTCCTGGAGCAGCTCCACAAGCAGCAGGGCGCCGTGCTGCACCCCGACTACAAAACCTCCTTCCGCTCCTTCCAGGACGCCCTCCAGCGCCTCCTGCCCTACCACGTCTACCAGGGGGTGCTCCCCTCCGCCCACGACTACCGCAAGGGTGCGTTCACCAAAAACGGGACCTTTAGCCCCAAAAAAAAACCCAACTTCCCCCCAGGACGACATAATCCCACGTATTTCCCTCATTTCCGAGCTGGGATGGTCCAACGCGACCTCAAACCTCCTCAAAACCAACCTTCGGGAGGTTCCTCCCGAGGTTCCTCCGAGGTGCAACGATGAAAAATGACCCCAAATCCCTCGATTTAGGCCCCCCCTCCACCCCCCGGGTGAATCCGCTGACACGAGAGCCCCCAAACTCTCTTTTCTCCCTCCTCTTCCTCGCAGTGGATGAAGAGTTCGAAGCGGTGTCCACCCAGCTGCTGAAGCGCACCCAAGCCATGCTCAACAAGTACCGGCTGCTGCTCTTGGAGGAGTCTCGGGTGAGTCCAACCGGCTGGAAACGCCGTTTCCTTCGCTGAGGGTCCGTCCTGGGGTCAAAATCGAGGCCGTGGGGGGGCCGTGTCCTGCCCCGGGGGGCGGTTACAGAGGTTGGGGGCATTGGCTGGGCGTTGGGTTGGGTTGGGTTGAGTTGAGTTGAGATGGGTAGAGTTGGGTTGGGTAGAGTTGGGTTGAGTTGGGTTTGGTTGAGTTGGGTCAAGTTGGGTCAGGTTTAGTTGGTTCGAGTTGAGTTGGGTTGAGTTAGGTCAAGTTGGGTAGAGTTGGGTTGTGTTGAATTGGGTTGGGTCGAGTTGGGTTGGGTCAAGTTGGGTAGAGTTGGCTCTTGTTGAGTTGAGTTGGATCAAGTTTGGTTGAGTCGAGTCAGGTTGGGTCAAGTTGAGCTGGGTTGAGTTGGGTAGAGTTGGGTTGGGTTCAATTGAGTTGGGTCGACTTGGGTTGAGTCGAGTTGGGTTGGGTTGAGTTGGGTAGAGTTGGGTTGGGTCAAGTTGGGTCGAGTTGAGTTGGGTTGAGCTGAGTTGGGTTGAGTTAGGTCAAGTTGGGTAGAGTTGGCTCATGTTGGGTTGAGTTGGGTTGGGTTGGGTCAAGTTGGGTCAGGTTGAGTTGGGTCAAGTTGGGTCGAGTTGAGTTGTTGGGTTGAGTTGGGTTAAGTTAGGTCAAGTTGGGTAGAGTTGGGTCATGTCGAGTTGGGTCATGTCGAGTTGGGTCATGTCGAGTTGGGTCGGGTCGAGTTGGGTCGAGTTGGGTTGGGT